GGAGTAGAAATAACGATAATTTGGCCGGATCTTACACTTATAGATTTTATTTATGATGACTTCGTTTACAACGTTGATATTACATCAAAATCAAGAGAGACAGGGCTATCACGCATACATTGATGCTAGCGGAGATCTTTTTGAACATATTTTTTAGTATTATTTTATTACTTCTAATTTAATTTTATAATTATTCATGTTAGTAGTATAGAAACGCCGCTTCTGGACCAGGAGCGGCTTCTTGTGACGTCATGCTTCAATGTTATTATAAGTATAGGGAAAGTGACCAACTCAAATCTGGGGGGCTAAAAAGTAACTCGATTTAGATTGGTATTGGAAAAGCAACGAGATCTGGTGACTTTTTTAAAAAAGTAACTAGAATAATTCGCGCCACCTAATTGTAGGTAGTGGAACTAAACCCTACACGCAATATGTCGGAAATAATACAATCAACCCAATTTAAATACATGTATTTAAACATTTTAAAATAAAAATTACAAATAGATATACATCTTAAAAGTTTATACGCAATTAAACAAATAATCTCTACATTTGTGGTACTTTTCCTATACCAACCTAAATCTAGTTACTTTTTAACCCCCCAGATTTAAGTTAGTCACTTTCCCTATACTTATAACATTAGAGGTGGGGGACCGTTTCCTGGGATGGTGGAGTAGAAGTAACGATAATTTGGCCGGATCTTACACTTATAGATTTTATTTATGATGACTTCGTTTACAACGTTGATATTACATCAAAATCAAGAGAGACAGGGCTATCACGCATACATTGATGCTAGCGGAGATCTTTTTGAACATATTTTTTAGTATTATTTTATTACTTCTAATTTAATTTTATAATTATTCATGTTAGTAGTATAGAAACGCCGCTTCTGGACCAGGAGCGGCTTCTTGTGACGTCATGCTTCAATGTTATTATAAGTATAGGGAAAGTGACCAACTCAAATCTGGGGGGCTAAAAAGTAACTCGATTTAGATTGGTATTGGAAAAGCAACGAGATCTGGTGACTTTTTTAAAAAAGTAACTAGAATAATTCGCGCCACCTAATTGTAGGTAGTGGAACTAAACCCTACACGCAATATGTCGGAAATAATACAATCAACCCAATTTAAATACATGTATTTAAACATTTTAAAATAAAAATTACAAATAGAAAGTTTATACGCAATTAAACAAATAATCTCTACATTTGTGGTACTTTTCCAATACCAACCTAAATCTAGTTACTTTTTAACCCCCCAGATTTAAGTTGGTCACTTTCCCTATACTTATAACATTAGAGCGTAACAACGAAGTAACAAGGAGCCGCTCCTGGTCAAGAACCGGCATTTCTATACTACTCATGTTAGTGTTTTTTGTTAAATCTTGTTAAAATTTATTTTCTCCCAAAAATAATTCTAAAATTATTAAGAACTTGCAAACACGTTGTATCAATTCAGATGACGAATATTCAATTAGTAAGGACATGTCACAAAACGCTTGGTAATCTTTCGCCATTATTGATTTTAGACTCAAAAGTGAATCAGTTTTGGGCTGTTATAGAGTGACAGCAAATCGTTAAATTGTCGTAATATCACATTGCTACATGACGCAATTTGTTGTTAATTATACCATCTGATTTGAATTTTAGTTGTCTTATATCATTTATAGTATTCGTAATTTCAGTCATGATGATCTTATAATATTGTAAGAGGATGTGAGTTCGTTTATCAGATTCTGTGTTATGTTTAGTTCTGTCCTCATTCGTTTGATCTTTTTTTTGAACATTATCTTATGTATCAATTCTTTTCCGTTACGTGGATGGCATCTTTAATTGGGATTCCCCACCCTGAAATTATCAGATATAGAAAGAGTAAATGAAAAATAACAATACAACAAATAAATCATGCAAATAACGCTTTAAATTTGTTGTCAATGGAAAATTTGTTTAGTTAGACATTTATATCATTTAAAATATAAATAAAATTTTATATATTTCAACATATCGATTATCTATAAACCGCTTAAATTGTAATTGCTTTTGTCACAACGCATTTTTAAATATATTTTATTATATAACGCAGTTTGTCGTAGTAAATACCGATTATAAATTTCAGAATTTAAAGCTTTAAATATGAAAAATAATCAAATTTATTTAGGAATTTAATTTGGTACGGATTGTTAACCATTTTAATTAACTCATATCATAATTCTTTATCGTAATTTAATGTTAGTTTCAAATTTTCATGAATTTATTAAAATTTTCCAATAAGTTTACATTTCAAGTGGTTCCATAAATCGATTAGTTGACAAATTTTAATTAAATCCCTTTTTAATACAATGTTTTTTCAATCTAAATCCAATCACCACCTCGAAAATCACGATATTGAAACAAATCCAAACGAAAAACAAATCTTCATCTAGTGGAGGACTTAAATAAATTTTATTTCATAATAATGATTTGCATTGAGATTTCTTTAAGTAATGTTAATGTGAAATGTTAATTATGTGTATTCCGAATTACCTGGAAATGCCTAGTTTGATGGTTTGAATAGGTTGAGTTGAAACTGTCTGTTGCATACTCGATGGGAAACTGAGTGAGATAGCGAGAGGTATTCTGTTAATATTAATAGAACAGATCTAATTGTGTTAGTAATTAGTTGCGGTTCCATAAAGTTAACTTGAGTCAGCAACTTGAATCTAAATAACCCCACACTTATCCTTAATTACTTGAAATGTTTCACTTAAAAACCACATTTTAACTATTTTAAAGTTTTTAAAGCTCTAAGAATTTAATTTTTCTTATACTTAGGGAATAAGTAATCTCCAGTTAAATTCATGGAAAGTTAACATTTTCTTTTTTATTTACTGTGGCAATAAACCGCAACTTCCTTTTTTTATTACTTACCTAGATACGTGCTTTTGATGTAATTCTATGAATAGAACGCTTTCAAACGGAAACGTATTTGAGTTAAGAGTGCTTTATATTCTCTGTAAAGTAACTCTTTATGTAAGCTCTGAAAGAATTTAACTTTTTATAAACGCACCGACGTGATTTTTAACCCTTTGTGTCCCAAGAAGTCAAAAATTTTGAAAGTTTGTGGAAAAAATATTGATATAAAACTTACATTTTCGTATATCCCAAAAGTGTTAAAAAAGATGCTAATTTAAAAATTCCTGGAAGTCGTATTTATTGAAATTAAGGAATGAGACTTACTCTAAATTAAAGCTCAAAGCTTTCTCTTTAAAATGATGTATAATAATTGTTGGGTTGGATTGGAAAAATATTAAGAAAAGAAATGTTGAAATAAAACTTACATTTTCGTATAACCTAAAAGTCTCAAAAAATATGCTAATTTAAAAATTCCTGGAAGTCGTATTTATTGCAATTAAGTAATGAGACTTGTTCTAAATTAAAGCTCAAAGCTTTCTCTTTAAAATGATATATAATAATTGTTGGGTTGGATTGGAAAAATATTGAGAAAAA